GAGGGACATTGGGGACACAGGGAGGACACGGGGAGACATGGGGGGATATTAGGGATACGGAGGGACATTGGGGACACGGAGAGGACATGAGGGGACATTGTGGGACATGGAGGGGACATGGTGGGGACACATTGGGGACAAGGTGGGGACAACATGGGGACATGGCAGGGACATGTTGGGGACATGTAGGGGACATTGGGGGACATGGTAGGGACACGGCAGGGACAAGGCGGGGACACGGGGACATGGCAGGGACATGTTGGGGACATGGGGGACGCATTGGGAACACGGGGACAAGGTGGGGACATGGCAGGGACATGGGACACATGAGGGACACATTGGGGATATGAGGAGACATGGGGGACATATTGGGGACATGGGGGGGACATGAGGGATAAGGGGACACGAGGGGACACAGCAAGGTCATGTTTGGGACATGGGGGACACATTGGGGACACGGGGACATGGGACATAGCAGGGACATGTTGGAGACATGGGGGGACACAGGAGACACGGGGCAGCACAGGGGGACACGGCAGGGACACATTGGGGACATGACAAGGACACAGGAATGGGACACATTGGAGACAGGGCACAGATACATAGAGGACACGGGGGGACATTGGGGGACAAAGGACACGGGGACATGTGACACATTGGTTAAGAGGGACATGGGGACAGGGACACATCGGGAATGGGGGGGGGGTCCCGTTTCAAGGCACCTCAGGGGCGTTTTGGGTGGATTTCAGGTCATTTTGGGTGTTTCTGGGGATGTTTCGGGTGGTTTTGAGGTCTTTTTGGGTGGTTTTGAGGTCTTTTTGGGTGGTTTGGGAGGTTTTTTGAGCATCCTGGATGTGTTTCAGGTGCTTTTGGGGCATTTTTGGTGGTTTTGAGGTCAGTTTAGGTGGTTCTAGAGTCATTTAGGAGGATCCCAGATGCGTTTTGGGTACTTTTGAGGTCGTTTTGGGTGGTTTTGAGTGGTTCTGGGGACATTTCAGGGGATCCTTGGTGCATTTTGTGACGTTTTGAGGCTGTTTTGGGTGGTTTTAAGATAATTTTGGGTGGTTCTAGGGTCATTTAAGGGGATCCCAAGCGCGTTTGGGGTACTTTGGAGGTTTTGAAGTCATTTTGGGTGGTTTTGAGGTCGTTTTGGGTGGATCTGGGGTAGGTTCAGGGGATGCTGGGTGCGCTTTGAGTGGTTTTGAGGTCATTTTGGGTACTTTGGGGGGTGTTTTGAGCATCCCAGACGTGTTTCACGTACTTTTGGGAGCATTTTTGGTTGTTTTGAGGTTGTATTGTGCAGTTTTGAGGTCTTTTTGGGTGGGCATCCGGTCAGAGGCATGAGGGGACATAAGGACATGGGGGACATGCGGACGTTGGGGACATGGAGGGACATGGCAGGGAAATGAGGGACATGGAGGGGACAGAGGGGACATCAAGGACATCGATGGACTTGGAAGACATTGGGGTCATGAGGGGACATAGGAGGACACTGGGGACATGGCGAGGACATGGGGGACATGAGAGATATAGAGGGACATTGGGGACACAGGGAGGACACGAGGAGACATGGGGGGACATTAGGGATATGGAGGGACATTGGGGACATGGAGAGGACATGGGGGGACATTGTGGGACATGGAGGGGACATGGTGGGGGAACATTGGGGACACAGGGGGGAGCCCTCAAGGGGGCACGCAGAGACACAGCAGGGGACACAGGACACTTTGGGGACATGGGAAGGGACAAGGACTCCCTCCCCACCCCCACACCCCAAAACCCCCCAGATTCGCCCAAATTTGCCCAAACCGGCGGCGTTTGGCCCCGCGGTGGCACCTTGTCGGGGCGGAGCCGCTTGCTGGCGCAGAAGGACTTCAGCTGCTCTGTCACCTGCCTGGGGACATGGGGACACGGCGGGGGGGGGCCCGCCCCCGGGCCGGCAGAGGTGTGGCGAGGCGAGTGGTTGTCAGGCGTGGCGTGGTGTCTTTATGAGATGAGGCGTGGCGAGGTGAGTGCTGGTCAGGGATGGCGGGGCGAGTACTTTTGAGGCGAGGGGAGGGGGGGGGGGGGGTGGGGAGGGGGGGGGGGGTGGTCCCGTTTCAAGGCACCTCAGGGGCGTTTTGGGTGGATTTCAGGTCATTTTGGGTGTTTCTGGGGATGTTTCGGGTGGTTTTGAGGTCTTTTTGGGTGGTTTGGGAGGTTTTTTGAGCATCCTGGATGTGTTTCAGGTGCTTTTGGGGCATTTTTGGTGGTTTTGAGGTTAGTTTACATGGTTTTAGAGTCATTTAGGGGGATCCCAGGTGCGTTTTGGGTACTTTTGAGGTTGTTTTGGGTGGTTTTGAGTGGTTCTGGGGACATTTCAGGGGATCCTTGGTGCATTTTGTGACGTTTTGAGGCTGTTTTGGGTGGTTTTAAGATAATTTTGGGTGGTTCTAGGGTCATTTAAGGGGATCCCAAGCGCGTTTGGGGTACTTTGGAGGTTTTGAAGTCATTTTGGGTGGTTTTGAGGTCGTTTTGGGTGGATCTGGGGTAGGTTCAGGGGATGCTGGGTGCGCTTTGAGTGGTTTTGCGGTCATTTTGGGTACTTTGGGGGTTGTTTTGAGCATCCCAGACGTGTTTTCACGTACTTTGGGAGCATTTTTGGTTGTTTTGAGGTTGTATTGTGCAGTTTTGAGGTCTTTTTGGGTGGGCATCCGGTCGTTTAGGGCATTTTTGAGGACATTTCAGGTGGTTTTGAGGCCATTTTGAGTGATTTTGAGGTCATTTTAGGTGGTTTGGGAGGTGTTTTGAGCATCCCGGCCACGTTTTGGGGCATTTTGAGGTCATTTTGGGGCATTTCAGGGGCCGCTCGGTGCATTTTGGGTACTTTTGAGGTCATTTTGAGCAGTTTTGAGGGCATTTTAGGTGGTTCAGAGATCATTTTGGGTGGATTCGGGTTGTTTCTGGTGCTTTGGGGGCTGTTTTGAGCATCCCAGCCACATTTTGGGGCGTTTCGAGGTCGTTTTGGGTGGCTTTGAGGTCATTTTGGGTGGTTTCGGAGGTGTTTTGAGTGTCCCAGACACATTTTGGATGCTTTTTGGGGAATTTTTGGGTGGTATTGAGGCCATTTTGGGTGGTTTTGAGGTCGTTTTGGGTGGTTCTGGGGACATTTCAGGGGCTCCTCGCTGCATTTTGGGTGGTTTTCAGGTCATTGTGGGCGGTTTTTAGAGGTCATTTTTGGTGGATTTGATTCGTTTCGGATGCTTTGGGGGTGTTTGGAGCATCCCGGCTGCATTTCGGGGCCATTTGGGGGCCGTTTTGGGGCATTCCAGGGCCATTTCGGGGCATTTTGGGGGTATTTTGGGGCTATTTTGGGGTGTTTCGGGGCGTTTCGGGCCGTTTCAAGGCCGTTTTGGGGCATTTCGGGGGCGTTTGGGGGCGCACGCACCGGGACACGTCGGCGATGTGCAGGTGCCGCAGCTGCACCCAGAGCTCGTCGTCCTCGTCCAGCAGCGCCGTCTTCTCCCGCACCTCGCTCAGCCCCGACGTCTCGTACCTGCGGCCCCACAACGTCCCCGTCGGCCACCGAGGTGCCACCACCGAGGGGCCAGGGAGTGACCAAGGAAGGGCCATGGGTTGGCCACAGGTTGCCAAGGATCAGCCATGGATTGGTCAAGGAAAGGCCTTGGATTGGCCAAAAAGTGGCCAAGGATCAGCCATGGATTGGCCAAGAAAAGGCCTTGGATTGGCCAAGGATTGGTCATTGGTTGGCCAAAAAGTGGACAAGGATCAGCCATGGATTGGCCAAGAAAACGCCAAGGATCACCCATGGATTGGCCAAGAAGAGGCCTTGGATTGGCTGAGAAGGGACCAAGGATAAGCTGAGGATTGGTCAAGGAAAGGCCTTGGATTGGCCAAAAAGTGGCCAAGGATCAGCCGTGGATTGGTCAAGAAAAGGCCTTGGATTGGCTGAGAAGGGACCAAGGATAAGCTGAGGATTGGTCAAGGAAAGGCCTTGGATTGGCCAAAAAGTGGCCAAGGATCATTCATGGGTTGGCTAAGAAATGGCCAAGGACCAGTCATGGATTGGCCAAGGAAAGGCCTTGGATTGGGCAAGAAGTGGCCAAGGATCAGCCATGGATTGGTCAAAGAAAGACCTTGGATTGGCCAAGGATTGGTCATTGGTTGGCCAAAAAGTGGAAAGGATCAGCCATGGACTGGCCAAGAAAACGCCAATGATCATCCATGGATTGGCCAAGAAAAGACCTTGGATTGGCTGAGAAGGGACCAAGGATGAGCTGAGGATTGGCCAAGGAAAGGCCTTGGATGGGCCAAAAAGTGACCAAGGATCAGCTGTGGACTGCTCAAGGAAAAGCCTTGGATTGGTCAAGGATCATCTGTGGGGTGGCCAAGGATCACCCATGGGTTGGCCAAGAAATGGCCAAGGACCAGCCATGGATTGGCCAAGAAAAGGCCTTGGATTGGCCAAGAAGTGGCCAAGGATCAGCCACGGATTAGTCAAAGAAAGACCTTGGATTGGCCAAGGATTGGTCATTGGTTGGCCAACAAGTGGCCAAGGATCATCCATGGTTGGCCAAGATTCTACCATGGCTTGGTCAACGAAAGGCCATGGATTGGCCAAGAATTGGCCATGCATTGACTAAAGAAAGGCCATGGATTGGCCATGGATCAACTATGGGTTGGCCAAGGATCCAATATGGATTGGCCAGGATTCAGCCATGGATTGGCCATGGACTGGCCAAGATTCGGCCATGGAGCAGTCAAGGACTGGCCATGGATCAACTATGGGTTGGCCAAGGATGTACAACGGGTTGGCCAAGGATTGGCCACGGAACCACCATAGATCGGCCAAGATTCAGGCATGGATTGGTCAAGAATTGGCCATGGATTGGCTAAAGAAAGGCCATGGATTGGTCAAGGAAAGACCATGGATTGGCCAAGGATTGGCCAAGACTCAGCCACAGATTGGCCAAGGATTGGCCATGGTTTGGCTAAGGAAATCCATGGATTGGCCAAGGAAAGGCCACAGATTGGACAAAACTCAGCTATAGATTGGTCAAGGAAAGACCATGGATCAACTATGGGTTGGCCAAGGATCAACAATGGACTGGCCAAGATTCAGCCATGGATTGGCCAAAGATTGGCCATAGATTGGCTAAGCAAATGCCATGGATTGATCAAGACTCAGCCATGGATTGGTCAAGGAAAGGCCACGGATTGGACAAAACTCAGCTATGGATTGGCCAAGGAAAGACCATGGATCAACTATGGGTTGGCCAAGGATCAACAATGGACTGGCCAAGATTCAGCCATGGATTGGTCAAGGAAAGGCCATGGATTGGCTAAGGAAAGGCCATGGATCAACTATGGGTTGACCAAGGATCAACCATGGATTGGTCAAGACTCAACCATGAATTGGCCAAGGAAAGGCCCTGGATTGGCCAAGGATTGGCCAAGGATCTATCATGGGTTGGCCACAGATTGGCCAAGGATTGACCATGGATTGGCCAAGATTCAGCCATGGATTGGTCAAGGAAAGGCCAGGGATTGGCTAATGAAAGGCCATGGATCAACTATGGGTTGGCCAAGGATCAACCATGGATTGGTCAAGACTCAACCATTGATTGGCCAAGGATTGGCCAAGGATCAACCATGGGTTGCCCAAGGATCCACCATGGATTGACCTTGGGTTGGCCAAGGCTCCACTAAGGGCCACCCCAAGGCCCCCCCCTGGGTGACCCGTTGGCCGCAGGTGTCCCCGGTGTCCCCGTGTCCCCACCGGAAGGTGTCCTGGCGGATGTCGAGCAGGTCGTAGGCCATGGCCTGCAGCGTCAGCTCGTGCAGCAGCGGCGTCACCAGGTCGAAGCCGCGGTCCACGATGACGAGTTGGGTGCGGCCCTGCGCCCGGGGACACCGCGGTGAGGGGACACGCGGGGGACACCCCGGGGCCAGGGGACAGCGGCCCACGGGGCGCCCAGGGGGTTGGGGACAGCCGGGTGGCACCCCAAGGCGAGGGGACACCAGGACAGGGACATAGGGGCACCCAGGTGGCACGCAGGGGTGAGGGGACACCAGCCCGTGTGGCACCCAGGGGTGAGGGGACATTCAGGTGGCACCCTAGAGAATGGGGACACCATCCCATGTGGCATCCAGGGAGTTGGGGACACTCAGGTGGCACCCAAGAGAATGGGGACTCCAGCCCACGTGGCATCCAGGGAGTCGGGGACATCCAGGTGGCACCCAAAGGTGAGGGGACACCAGCCCATGTGGCACTCAGGGCCACGTCCCTGTCCACATGGGTGGCGAGGGCCACCTCATCCCTGTCCCCATTGATGGCAGCACCCGCCTTGTCCCTGTCCCCAGTGTCCCCCATCCCCTTGGTGGCAGCTCCCGCCGTGTCCCCGTCCCCATGAGCGGCGAGGGCCACTGTGTCCCCATGGGTGCCAGCATCCCCCATGTCCCCGTCCCCATGGCCAGCGTGGGTCCCCTCTGTGTCCCCGTGTCCCCCCGCGGTGCCGGTGGCCGCGCGGACGCTGTCACCTCGGCCATGGCGGGGTTGTCACCCCGCAGCTCGTCCAGGCGGGCCACCAGCGCCCGGGCCAGCACCGCGTTGTCCTCGGGGCCCCTGGGGACACGGGCGCCGCGGGGGGGACGACGCTGGTGGCACCGCTGTCCCCAGGGTGCCTGTGTCCCCATGTCCCTATACCCAATGTCCCCAGGTCCCCATGCCAGTCTATGTCTCCCCGTGTCCCCCCCACGTCCCCATAGTCAATGTCCCCATGTCCCATGTCCCTGTGTCCCTCCATGTCCTTTCATGTCCCCCCGATGTCCCCATAGCCAATGTCCACCACATCCCTCCATGTCCCCACCTTCTTCCATGTCTCCTCATGTCCCCACTACGTCCCCATACCCAATGTCCCCATGTCCCCGTGTCCCTCCATGTCTCCCTGTGTTCCCCCCACGTCCCCACACCCAATGTCTCCATGTCCCCATACCCACGTCCACCATGTCCCCGTGTCCCTCCATGTCTCCCCGTATTGTCCCCACGTCCCCATACCCCATGTCCCCCACATCCCCATGTCCCCGTGTCCCTCCGTGTCCTCTCTGTCTCTCCAAGTCCCCATCCTCTGTCCTCTGTCCCTGTGTCCCCTCATGGCCCTCCATGTCCCCATTGCCCTCCATGTCCTCTCAGGTCCCTGTGTCCCATGTCCCTCTATGTCCCTCTATGTCCCCATGTCCCTGTGTCTTCATGTTCCCTATGTCACGTCCCCCAATTCCCCCTTTCCTCCTGTCCCCGTGTCCCCTATGTCCCTCCATGTGCCCCTGTCCCCATGTCCCCCCATGTCCCATCATGTCCCCATGTCCCCACATGTCCCTGTATCCAGCATGTCCCTTATGTCCCCATGTCCCCCTGTTGCCATTTCCCATGTCCTCCCATGCCCCTGTGTCCCACTGTGTCCCCCCGTGTCCCCATGTCCATATCCCCCATCCCCGTATCCCCCATGTCCCTCTGTGTCCCCCCATGTTCTCCCATGTCCCCTCATGTCCCCATGTCCCCGTGACCCCCGTATCCCCACGTCCCTATGTCCCTCTGTGTCCCATGTCCCCATGTCCCCCCATGTCCCC